GGATACACACTCACGGGTGATACATAAACAGACACAAGTGATACATACACACATACAGGGGATACATACACACATGTGATACATAAACACACAGGAGATACATACACACGGGATACATACACACAAAGGAGATACATACACACAGGAGCTACGTACACACAGGTGATACATACACACACCGGGGGTACATACACACAGGAGATACACACGCACAGGGGGGATACATACACAGGAGATAAATACACACGGGAGATACATACACACAGGAGATGCATACACACAGGAGATACATACACACAGGAGATACATACACAGAGGAGATACATACACACACATGAGATACATACACACACACAAGGGATACATACACACAGGAGATACATACACACACATGAGATACACACACACGAGATACATTCACACAGGAGATACATACACACAGGGGATAATACACACAGGAGATACATACACACACAGGAGATACACACACAGGGGGTACATACACACATACACAGGGGATACATACACACATACAGGGGATACATACACACAGGTGATACATAAACACACAGGAAATACATACACGCAGGGGATACATACACACAGAGGATACACACACAGGAGATACATACACACAGGGGATACACACGCAGGAGATACATACACAGGAGATACATACACACACCAGAGATACATACACAGGAGATACATACACATATGAGATACATACACAGAGGGGATACATACACACAGGGGATACACACAGGCGATACATACACAGGGGGTACATACACACACGAGATACATACACACTCAGGAGATACATACACACAGGGGAAACATACACACACAGGAGATACATACACAGGACATACACACACACAGGAGGTACATACACACACAAACTCGAAGTGATGTAAGCGAGAGGGTGTGGATGGCCAGCACCACGCCAGGCCGCATTTGTCTCCCCAGCGGCGGAGTTTACACACCACACCACACTACACCACCACACACCACACCTCACCACACCACACCACACTGCACCACACCACACCACACTGCATCACACCACACTGCACCACACCGCACCACACCACACCACATGACACCGCACCACACCGCACCACACCACACCACACTGCACCACACCAGACTGCACCACACCACACTGCACCACACCGCACCACACCACACCAGGTACTACTCATTTGAGGCTGAGCCGACTTAGGGGAGGCCCAGGACACTTTCAGATAATCGCCACTGGTGTTGTTGTTGATCGAGAGCTGGAATGGAACTTCGGTGGCCAGCTTGGTAGCACAGCGCTGCTAATCATTGCACACATGACGCAGAGATGCTTATTAACACGTGCAACGATCACCCCGCGTATAGCATTCATCAACTGCTGTGAGAGAGCACGTGTTAAAGCCGCCAGAGCGCATGGGAGTTGGTTGGATGGCTAACACCACGCCCGGCCGCCTTTGTATCCCCAGTGGCGATGTTTACACATCGCACCAGGTACTAATTTGAGGCTGAGTCGACCTAGGGGAGGCCCAGGACTGGTTCAGATAATCGTCATTAGGTGTTGGCCGTGAGCGGGAATCGAACCCGGGTCGCCAGGTTTCGTAGCGCAGCGTAGCGCTAACCGCTGCACCACCGCTCCCCCACACACACAAACAAAGACAAAGATCTCCACGTGTAGCCTTAACAGAGTTGGGGGCAAGTGCTGTTAGCGAGTCGCACCTATGAAGGCCGGAAGGGCACACGAGGCGATTGGTGGTCAGCACCACCACTACCAACACAAGCGCCATTCGCCACTCAGCGACGGTGACGTCACCACGGCGCCTGTGCCAGGCTAGGTGCACTTTGAGGCCACGTGAAAGTGTCCAAGGTTCGCTGACAGGAGGAGGTCTCGGGACAGCACCACACACGAACACACACACACACAAAGCGGCGCAGAATCACACGCAGACACAAAGACAATGACACACCCATTTATACGTACAAGGAACACAACAAATACAATCACAACGGCTCACACACACACTTGCTCAAACACACACTCGCCCACACACAATCTTTGATCACACACGCACACTTGCTGACGCACGGACTCGCTTACACGCGCACACTCGCTTACAAAAGCACGCACTTTTTTACACTCATACACAGAACACAGCGAAACACACCCACACACAACGCCTACCCCCCCCCCCCCCACAAAGACTTTTGGGGGCAACTGCTGTTAACGACACACGAGAGGCTGGGTGGCCAACACCAGGCCCGGCCGCCTTTGTCTCCCTAGTGGCGATGTTTACACATCATTTGTTAGTCACCGGTGTTGGCCGTGGGCGGGAATCGAACCCGGATGGCTGGGTTCGTATTTGTGTCTGTATAGCATGAACAGACTGTAGGGGCAAGTGCTATGAACCACACACTCACAGACACACTAACAAAGACACACACACTCTCACAGACACACTAACACACTAACAAAGACAAAGACACACACACAATGACACAGGCCCACTCTCACACCTACACACACCATCACACACAAGACCACACACAACGACATTGACACTCTCACACACCCCAAAGACAAATATACCCCGATAGCTATGCAGGCTGTCGGGGCAAGTGCTGTCAGTGAAGACCTATTAAAATCGGAACAGCGCACGACGTCGACGTCGTGGTGTGGACAGTTCTAACGTTCACACTATGATAGATACAAAGATAAAGATCCCCCGTGTAGCCTTAACACTGTTGGGGCAAGTGCTGTTAGCGAGCACCGATGAAAGGCCGGCACGGCACACGAGGGGGTGGGTGGCCAGCACCTCGCCCGGCCACCTTTGTCTCCCCAGTGACGATATTTACACACCGCACCAGGTACTAATTTGAGGTTGAGTCGACCTAGGGGAGGCCCAAGACCGGTTCAGATAATCGTAAACGGTGTTGGCCGTGAGCGGGAATCGAACCCGGGTCACCAGGTTCGTAGAGCAGCGCGCTAACCGCTGCACCACCGCTCCCCACACTCAAATACATTGTGCAGGCACGGGACAAAGGAAGAACCGCACACAAATTAGTGATCTATACAAGAAGACAAAGACACTGTCTCGCACAAATACAATCACATACACAAAGACAAATATCCCCCGTATAGCCTTAACAGACTGTTGGGGAAAGTGCTCTGAGTGATCACCATTGAAGGCCGGCACGGCACACGAGGGGGTGGATGACCACCGCACGTGTACACACAACAACAACAACCGCCGTTCACCACTTAGTGGCGGTAACGTCACCACTGCACTTGTGCCAGGATAGGTGCATGTAGCCCCTACACACTCACACCCGAGCACTACAGGTAATTAATACACAATGGTACACCCACATATCTCGCACACACACACACTACAGACACAAATACTATAAAGATCTCCTTATGACCTCATTGATTGTTGGGGCAAGCGCTGTTAGCGAGCATCTATTCAGCGACACGCACACACAGACACACACACGGGTGGGACAGACACACACACTGGTGACACACACACACGGGTGGCACAGACACACACACGAGTGGCACAGACACACACACGGGTGGCACAGACACACACACGGGTGGCACAGACACACACACGGGTGGGACAGACACACACACACACTGGTGGCACACACACACGGTTGGCACACACACGGGTGGCACACACACACACACGGGTGGCACAGACACACACACTGGCGGCACACAGACACACACGGGTGGCACAGACACACACACAGGTGGCACACACACACACTGGTGGCACACACAGACACACACACTGGTGGCACAGACACACACACAGGTGGCACAGACACACACACGGGTGGCACAGACACACACACTGGTGACACAGACACAACACACGGGTGGGACAGACACACACTCGGGTGGCACACACACACGGGTGGCACACACACACACTGGTGGCATAGACACACACACTGGTGGGACAGACACACACACTGGTGGCACAGACACACACGGGTGGCACACACACACACGGGTGGCACACAACACACACACGGGTGGCACACACAAGTAGATGGTGGCATTTCATGGCGTTTGTGCCAGGCTAAGTGCACTCTCATGAACACACAAAACAAATACAATAGTAAGCAGGGACACACCCGTCCGTCACACATACAGCCACACACTTTGTGTTTCCCGTACGTGCGGTACAGATCACACACGATTAAAAGACAAAGTTCCCCCGTATAGCCTTAACAGACTGTAGGGGCAAGTGTTGTTTGCGAGCACCTATGAAGGCCGGCACGGCACACGATGGGGTCGGTGGCCAGCACCACACCCGACCGCCTTTGTCTCCCCAGTGACGATGTTTGCTACACATCGTACCAGGCACTCGATTGAGACTGAGTCGACCCTAGGGGAGGCCCAGAACCGGTTCAGATAATCGTCAACGGTGTTGGCCGTGAGCGGAAATCGAACCCGGGTCGGCAGGGATCGTAGTGCAGCGCGCTAACCGCTACACCAGCGCCCCCCACACACACACACACAAATATAAATACCCCCGTATAGCCTTCAACAGAATGTTGGGGCAAGTGCTGTTAGCGAGCACCGGAACGACATACGAGGGGGTGGGTGACCAGCACCACGCCACACACACACACATGCACGTACATATACACACACGTGCACACACATGCAGACACACACACACTATCACCCACACACACACCTCCCACCCCACCCCCATACCACCACCCCCACCGCCACCTCCCCCACCCAACCCCCCCAACTCTCCTCCCCCTTACCCCCCCCCCACCCACATCCACACCACCCCCACCCCATCCCGAACACACAAAAAAAATTTGCAATTAAGCTCCAGCCAATCACAGGCGGGCGGCGTGCGCGTGGCGGAGGCAAGGGGGGGAGGGCGGAGGAGGAGGAAGGGGAGGGCGGAGCTGGGGCGGGCGCGCGCGCGCACGCGGACCAATGGGGGCACCCCGCGGGCTCCGAGGTGGAGGCGGCGCGCGCGGGGGACGGAGCGCACACAACGGAGGAGGCGCGCACCGCGAAGCGCGAGAGGAGCGAGCGAGGCGCCCGGGGGTCGCTCGCGGTAGCCACAAGCAACGGGGGTGGGGGGGCCGAAGCCACAGTAGCCAACGGCAGCGGCGGTTGGGTCGCAAGCACGGGGTAGCCACGCAGCTGCACACACACACACACGCGGGCAGCTACGCGACTGCACACACGGACACGGGCAGCCACGCAGCTACGCGCGCGCACACACACGGACACGGGCGGGTGGGCGGCGGCGGCGGCGCGAGGGGGGAACGACCCCGCCGATCAGAGAGCGTCGGAAGCGCGCTCGGGGCGCTTTATCTCGCCTCTCTCTGAGCTCGGATCGGGCGCAGCAGCCCCGGCCACTAGCGTAGCAGCCCCGGCGGTCGGGCGGAGAGAGAGAGAGAGAGCTAGGAGAGAGAGGGAGAGCTAGGACGAGAGAGGGAGAGCTAGGACGAGAGAGGGAGCTAGGACGAGAGCTGGAATCACACGGCGAGCAGCGCTAGAACGTCGGGCGAGTAGCGGGCAGCGGCAGCGGCGAGACATCGACAGTGCACGGAGGAGTTCTAGCGCGGGACGCGTACAATAGCGCGCGTGCAGTGGGTGTGTGTGTGTGGTGCTGTAGAGGAGTGCAGGGGGAGGGAGGGGGGCTGCGTAGCTGGCGGTGTCAGGGAGGCACGTACCACCTTCCCCGCTCTCGACGCGAGAGCCATTTGCGCGGCTGTAGCAGGCGAGCTATTGTGGCGACGACGGCGGCGGTGGTGGTAGCGGCCACGCGCCTTGTGGTGCCGTGCGAGTAGGGAGGGCGAGGTAGGTGAGCGGGGGGCTGAGAAATAGTACGAAGCTTAACGGGGCGCGCTCATTCGACGACGACCGCCGCCGCCACCACCACCACCCGTGGAACTCTTTATTTCGTTATCGGTATTATCGTGTGTGGTTTTTAAAAAATATATATATTTACATTCATATCGCCGGCGAGAATTTTACGGTTTTTTTTTTATTTTTACAAGGTTATATCGACAACCATCTTCGACGGCCAATATCGCGCCGTGGCTTCCTCTACAATCGTCCGAGAGGTAAGTGGCCGAGGTCTCGAGCCGTGGCGTCGGGACAACATACGTGCTCACAGCGGCTCGCCACTACTACCAGCCACCCACACTGCTACACACACCACGACCGCAGTGACTGCCACTCTATCGCTTTGTGTCTTGTGTGCCCTGTGCGTGTCTCTCTCTCGCTCTCACTCACTTGACCACGGGGCACGGCTATTTTTTTTTTACCCCGTCACCTAAGGGCATGCCCGTTGTTGTTGTTGTTGTGTGCTGCGTGTGCGTCAAAGTGACACCGACAGAAGAGAGCGCATCATCATCAACAACAACAACAAACATCATCATCATCAGCTCCAACAACAACAGCCGACGCAACAGCCGCAGCAAACGACACCATCACCACCACCACCACCAAGTGTGTGGAAGGGTGATTGATGGCAGCCACTGCCAGTAACCCATATCTTCCCGGCGGTAGCTCCGGCGGTGGTGGGGTTATGTCGGGAGCCGAGCAAACGCACCCCGCCTACCGCGAGCACGCCAAGCTCCTGCCCGCCGCCGAGTACCTGGGCACGAACGGCCACCTGCCGCCCTTCAGTCCGCAGTGGCTCACGGCCCTGCAACATCACGCGGCCTCGGAGAGCATGGGCCACCATCACCACCACCATCACCACCACCAGCCTCCGTCGCAGGGCGTCGGTTCGTCGCATCACTCGTGGGCCGGCGGCAGTCCGCTCGCCCATCAGGACACGCCGAAGGTGGAAGATATGCAGCAGCAGCAACAGCAGCAGCAGCAGAATCATCATCAGCAGCAGCATCAGCAACAGCAGCAGCAGCAGGATCAGCAGCGACACTCTCCACACGGCGTGTGGGGTCCGAACCCAACGGCGGCCACTCTGCTGCAGTCACCCCCGGGTCAGCAGCCCCATCACCACCAGCAGCAGCAGCAGCACCACCACCATCACCACCATCACCAGAGCGCACTCGCCTACTCGCCGCCGCCCTACGGGCACGCGGGCGCCTCGGGCCTCCTGCCCCTGGGGCTCTCCCCGCTCCACGGGGGGTCTCCACAGCCCGGGCAGGACGGCCCCGGTGTTGGTGGTGGAGGAGGAGGAGGAGGGGGAGGCAGCATCTCGGACACGGAGCTTGAGGAGCCTGCGCCGCCCACCTCGGATGACCTCGAGCAATTCGCCAAGGAGTTCAAGCAGAGGCGGATCAAGCTGGGCTTCACGCAGGCCGACGTGGGCCTGGCGCTGGGCACCCTGTACGGCAACGTCTTCTCGCAGACGACCATCTGCCGCTTCGAGGCGCTGCAGCTGAGCTTCAAGAACATGTGCAAGCTCAAGCCGCTGCTCAGCAAGTGGCTGGAGGAGGCCGACTCGGCCAACGGCTGCGCGGGCGGCGCCTGCGGCCTCGATAAGATGGCAGCGCAGGGTCGCAAGCGCAAGAAGAGGACCTCGATCGAGGTGGCGGTGAAGGGGGCCCTGGAGAAGCACTTCCTGCAGAGCCCCAAGCCCTCGGCGCAGGAGATAACGGCCATAGCCGAGGCGCTGCAGCTCGAGAAGGAGGTGGTGCGCGTGTGGTTCTGCAACCGACGCCAAAAGGAGAAGCGGATGACCGTGCAGGGAGTAGGAGGCCCTGAGGATCAGGGTTTGCAGGGCTCCATGGCTGGAGGGTGCAACAGTCCGAGCCACCATGCCCACCACGCGCTGTGATGTGGGATCCGTGCAGGGAGTGGAGAGGGGGGTGGGGGGCAGTGAGACACCCCCCCCCTCCTCCTCCTCCTGTTTGTCTCGGTGTGTGAGGAGCCGTGGCAGAGCGCGGGACTCGTGCGTGTGTTCGAGGAGACGCGGCGGAGAGAAGGGGGACACGCGGCTGCGACTTTCGCACCATCGCCATCAGCACCATCACTATATACGACCACTGTCACCATCACCGCCAGTACTACGACTGCCACCATCACCAGTATATGCTACCACTGTCACCAGTAACACCATCAGCAGCACCGTCACCTCACACCGTCGGCACTACCAGCAGCAGCACCACCAGCAGCTGCAGCTGCAGAAACACCAACATTACAGGCAGATTCATCACCAACACCATCGTCAAATTCTCCACCACTACCAACGTTAAAAAACACCCTTCACCACCACCACTACAATTGGAAAATTCGCCACCAACATCATCTCGAGCACGACCACAACCACCACGGCTTTCAATGCTGCTGCGAATAGCATCAGTTGGATTTCATCATCAGCATCGTCGGCTTCATTGGTGAGGTCGACATCTTCTTTGTCATCATCATCAGCAGCATCATCAGCAGCCACATGATCATCATCATCAGCACCTTCATTGTCAACAGCAGCTGCAGCACCGTAATCGTAACCTTCGGTTCAATTATTGGCATCATCATCATCAGCGGCAGCACTAAGGTGCTCATCATCCTGACCAACCATTATCATCATCATCATAAAGACCAGCACCGCAATCATCATCTTCATCACCACGACTACCAAAATCGGCATCATCAACAGCATTGGCATCATCCGTACCATTCTCATCAGCAGCAACAGCAGCATCTCAACACGAATGAGAAAATTACGAATCCGAGAAAAATCACGCGCGGCCGCAAACCTCCATCGCGCGCAGGTGAACTGAGCGAACAAGCTGACTGCGGCGTTGATTTGACGCGGCGAAGTGCATGGGAGAGGGAAGTCTCCGCTTAAGAAACCCCCTTTACGATATCTGTGGTGGATAGCAAAGGGGAGAAGACATCCGTGTGGATAGCAGCGAGAGGAGACTTGTGTGACTTGATGGCGGTGTGGTTGATGGTCACTTTGCGACGCTCCCAGCATCATCGCAAGCCGAGTCGTAGCCGCTGTACGTGCCAACAGCATTGTGAGAACACCGTCACCAGCAGCAGCATCATCATCATCAGACAACCGTGATCACTTTACATCAGCTGTCAACGCGTAGAGCAGCGGTAACTTCAATTTTTACCATCACGCGTCAACATCACCAACATGATCACCACCACCACCACAAATAACGCCATCGCCGTCGTTACTTTGTTGTCGCTGTGAAACAGCGACACAACAACAACACGCGTAGCAACTCCGACGTGGACAACATCACCGACGTAACACACGCACACGTAATGACAACACGGAACCACGCATGTGACACGAGACACAACGGCCATAACACGACCACGAGTCCCACCGCCACCGTCCGACACGAACACAACGGCAGCCGCACAAGCCGTCAACGCCACATCAACACAACCACGACACACGTTGACACAACCGACACAAACAAAATCGCACGGCACACAACCACGCGTGAACAACACGGCCACTCACCACCGCATCCCATGCTTTTGAGACACGAGTTCAGTCGGGGCACAATTATGTCATAAAATTATTTTTTAGCTCCTTATTTGCGTAATTATTTTGGGGTGGCAGCTTTTGTGTGTGTGTGTCTATGCCAAGTGGAATATTTGACATCCCGCCGTCATAATGTTGCATACATACACATAATAGACGTGTGTGTGTGTAGTAGTAGGCAGGGCCTGTGTGTTGTGTAATGTGTATGTGTGTACGTGGCACAGTGTAATACTGTAGATGTGTGTAGGCACCCGTGTGTATGTGCACGCATTGTGCACGAACAACGCAAAAGGGAGGCGATGCTGCAGTGCCGTTAGCACGACACCCAAACAAAAATAATAATCAAGAGTTCGAATCCTGGTCACGGATAACATCGGTGGCGAAGTTAATTTCTGAGCGCGTCTTTGGGGGGCGCTTCGCCTTCAAAGATCCGCACTCACGATCCTGGTGATGTGCGGCGAACAACAAAAATCACGTTCGCCGATATGGCTCAGAATGGGGTGGGTAGGGTGGGTCTTCATCCAGCAGTGGATTTGCAAAGGCCCCTGTGCATTGGACTACGATGGCACATTGTGTCGCGTCCGATGTTCATCACGCGGTGTCGAGCATCCATATATAAGAGATTACGTACTGGGCTATATGTGTACATGCGTGTGTGTGTGTTGTGTATGTACACGTTATGCACACACACGTGTACTCATTGCGTGTATGTATGTTAATAGGTAATGCGCACACGTGTACTGTACTATTACATGTATGTGTACCTGTAATTTGCGTCGGTAACGCTTCGTGTATTTTTACATATAGACGAAATGTGTACATGTGCGCACAGCGTGTATATGTGCAAATACACAGTCGGCCCACGTACTGTGTATATGTACCAATACACAGTCGAATTAAAATGTGTGTATGTACACACTACTTTCTATGTACAAATACTATTTGTGCATGCATGGTGTGTCCGTACACATGCTATATGCTGTGTGTATGCAGTGCATACAATATACGCGCACGTGTTCGCGATTACATATGTACGTACACACGTGCAATGTACATGTGTGCGTGTGAGGTGTGTGTGTGTATTGGGATACATATTAGCGGGATGTCAAATAATTAAAATGCTCCGTTATTAACACAAGCGAATACAAATGCACGTTGCATATGCACATACACATTTAGCAAGCATTCTCACGTACGCTTATTACAACGGCATATGCATCTGTACGTACACGTGGGCGCATATGTATCCATATGTGCATACACACACTGATACAGGTACATACGCATGCATGTACACTTGGATACGTCCTGTTTCACATACGTGGACGCACAGATACCTGTGGACGGATGTACACGGACATTCAGTACATGTACACGCATGTAATATGCATACGTGACCGTACATAATTTAAATACTTGCATATTGCTATAACGCGTGTACACACCACACGATGGCTTCCACACGCACAAATACACGATTATACAAATGTGCATACGTAACTAATTACGCAGCGTATGCATACATAGATATATACAGAAACGGATGTACACGCATATACCAAAAAGAAAAATACACAGGTACAGACGTATACACAGAAACACGATGACACACATGAAAGACGATTTATAGATGCATACACAATGGTACACACACCGACAGTCACACACGCACCGATGCAGACTAAACAAAGACACACACCGACCCGGCAACACACGCGCAGACACAATGACACACTGACACACACACGCGCAGACACAATGACACACTGACACACACGCAGACACACACCGACACAGCCACACACGCGCGGACACAATGACACACTGACACACGCGCAGACACAATGACACACTGACACACACGCAGACACACCGACACAGCCACACACGCGCGGACACAATGCCACACTGACACACGCGCAGACACAATGGCACACTGACACGCACACTGACACACGCGCAGACACAATGGCATACTGACACACACGCGCGCAGACACAATGACGCGCGGACACACGCGCAGACACAATGACACACTGACACACGCGCGCAGACACAATGACACACGCGGACACACGCGCAGACACAATGCCACACGGACACGCGCAGACACACACACCGACACAGCCACACACGCGCGGACACAATGACACACTGACACACACACGCGCAGACACAGACACGCACACTGACACACGCGCAGACACAATGACACACACTGACACACCCGCGCGCGGACACAATGACGCACACACCGACAGATACACACGCGCGCGCGGACACAGTGACACACACGGATACACCCGCAGACACACGCACACACGAGTGTCTTAAACACGCGGCTTTTAACAATGCTTTGGATTTTGTGGTTTTGGTCTCTGTGCGCGCGCGTGTGCGTGTTGTTTCTGTAAAGGAGTGTGACATAAGAATGGGAACTGCAGGGCTGTGTTGTTGGGAATCCATTGACTGCTTATGTTGAGTCAAATGTGAGTACAATTCTTTAACATATCTCAAATCTTAAATTCCACCCCCAGAGTATCGTTCCTCCCTGATACGAGCCAAACATTTTGCCACATCCGGAGCCGTACTTTATACGTACCAATTATGATAATAATAACAACAGCAGCAGCAGCGTTATTACTTCGATTATTCAATTAACTGAGTATTTTATTTTGGGATAGATTTTTTTGTTTTTAAACGAAAGATTGAGATCGGTAATTTATTTATTTTGACCAACTCTCAGTGCTGTATAAAATAACCATCTATTATTATTTAAAGTATATGACTTAAGTCATTGTGGTATACATATATATCAAATGCGTTGTATTGTTAAAGAGGGGACATTTTGACGAGCCTTGTAAATTTACGTAAAATGTAAATTCCTAATTGTTTTAAATGTGCTTTAGAATCGTTCGTTTCTTTTTTAAAAATGAATTTATATTTTACAGCTTCCATGTAGAATTTATATTGTGCCAACTCAAATGTAACATTGAATGCGCTCACACGCACGCGCGCGCGCACGCACACATTCCCTAGGCTAAAGATAGTGAGTGGGTGGTTAAATATTCTTACATGAATAACGTGAGAAATGTTATAAATAAGTTTATTAAATAAATTTGGTTTAATTATGATGCACTGCAAATTAAGAGATAATTATATTGTTGTCCGGCGCGCGCGCGCACACATCTACACACACATTGGCACACAAAGACAAAGATCCCCCGTATAGCCTTAACAGACTGTTGGGGCAAGTGCTGTTAGCAAGCGCCGATGAAGGCCGGAACGGTACACGAGGGAGTGGGTGGCCAGCACCACACGCGTACACAAACACAAACACGCAAAAGTGAAAGTGCTACAGAGTTTTAGTATAAAAAAAGACCGCAAAACGATAAAGTTTAACTTTTTTAATTCATGTGGCTGTCGACATGTTACGTGAATTTGAAATGTAAGTTTAAATAGAGGGATTAGTGTGTCCAATAGTGCGCGTGGCTGTGTATATATGTCTTTGTATATGTATGTATTCGAGTGTACATATGTATGCATCGTTATAATTGTCATATGTACGTACACGCACATGTACACACGTATGTATGTATCTTATACAGTACACGCATTATGTATTCATTCATATGTTTACACGGTTATGTACACACATACGTACGTACGCGCTATAACGGCACGTCATCGACGTTACACGTGTACGTGTCTGCTTGTGCATCACATGCTAGGGAGTGTTTTTTTGTGCGCGTTTTTACGCGTATACAGCAGCAGAGTACGCGTCGATTTAAAGTACGGTTTGGATGATATAATTGTTAAATCGGGTAAAATTAAAATGTTTTTGGCGCGTTCGGCGAAAACTTCCAAAGCCTCCCTCGAATTTGACGGAGTTTCTCGAGAGATATATAAAAAAAAACCAATAGTATCAGTGGAAATAATAAAATAATCACGGTGATAATTGTGATAATTTACAGCTCCATTATCAATCCACTGCTGGATGAAGGTGTCTTGTTATGGGGTGTCCGTTTGACCATACTTCACCGTCCGGGTCACTGCGACTTATAATAAAGAGGGTAGTTTTAAATAAGTAAGTAACAAATGTAATTAATATTTCTAAAGTACACGCAACAAAAATGAGTCGCATTATTATTTCCTTGCTAAAACGTGGAATTGTGTGCGTTGGGACACAATCTACATCAGAGTTAAAAATATTGAACGCGTTGCGGTACTTTAAGATAGTATAAATGACTTGAACGTTATATATATTTTTCGACAGCGATGTGCAAAAAGTTTGCCCGTTAAGATTAATTGTCAAAAAAATCGTTTCACAACAACTTTTGCACGTGTTAAATGCATCCGCGTTCAACACAATGCATCTGTGTGTGCGTGTGTGTTATATGTGTCTGTGTATACATGGGGAGCGGTAGTGTAGTGGTTAGCACACCGCGCTACGAACAATTCGACCCGAGTTCGATTCCCGCCCACGACCAATAGCAGTGGCGATTATCTGAACCGGTCCCGGGTTTCCCCCTAGATCAACTCAGCCTTGGTTCTGGCCACACCACCCCCCCCCTCCCCGTGTGTCGGCCTTCATAGGTGCTCGCTAACAGTACTTGCCCCCAAAGTATGTTAAGGTTATACGGGGAATATTTGTATATGTGTGTGTATATATAGAACACATACACGTGACACGTGCTTTTTTAATGGTGTGCGTGTACACGGGCAACATACCCTGATGCACAAACATACACATACCCTTGCACATGTATTACACTCATGAACGCACGTACCCATCACACACACACACATGCCTACAGTCCTACACTCATGCATATCGGAATTACACGCACATTCATACACAAAGACAAATATCCCCCATATAGCCTTAACAGACTGTTGGGGCAAGTGATGTTAGCGAGCACACACAAACACACTCTTTACACACGCGCGTACACGCACGCACATACACATACGTACACGCATACACGTGCTGGCACACACACACCACCCATACACAATTACACAAGCCCAGCGTGAGTTTACCGGTTACGTAATATTCTGTTTAAAGAAGTTACAGCACTCCCAACTCGGGATTATACGGCGCAAACTTGACAAAGAGAGAGAGAGAGGGAGGCGGGGAGACGCAACACGTGGAGGCATACTCGCACTCCCAACGCACAACGACTCTTCAAAACACTCGCCAAAATGTCACACTTCTACCACCGTATTCTCCCGATTCGTAGGACGCTCCGGAAAGTAAGACGCACCCCCTAAGCCCACAACCTCCGCCCCCCCCCCCCCCCCCCCCCCAAAGAAAATCTTATTTTAGTTTTCCCGGTGTCTAAGTTTTGACAAATCCGCTCACGCCGGATTATAAGACGCACCCCCCCCCCCCCCACCGTTTCCTACCCACCCGCCACAACTTTGTGCTGTGTTTCGATACAGCGCGAGGGGTGGGTGGGTGTGCGTCTTATAATCGGGAGAATACGGTAGCCGTGTGTGTGCGTCAGTGACTTTAAAGTGCGCGGACTTTTTGTTTTGGGGGGGGGGGGGGAGTGGGGGGGTTGCGGAGGGCGATGAGGGGGGGTGGTGATGGGGTTGGGGACGGGGGCGGAAGAATCGTGTAATGATACAAACAAGTAAAAAAATGATCATAAATACTCGTCGATATAAAATTACGTGTCTAGTTGGAACATGAGGCATCGATGGACATAAGATATACAATTGTGTTTGTAAAGTATATATGTACATGTACACAACCGATTGGAATTATGACGTGACCCAGGGAATTTTTGAATATTATTATTATATACCTGTGGCCTTTGCTCTATTTATTTTTATTATTAATAAATTTGTTAGGAGAATGAAGGCGAATGCGTGGATGATTCTTTACGGCGGCGCGCGTGGGGTGTGTGTGTGCGGTGTGTTGTGTGCGGTGTGTGTGCGTTAGTGTATGGTGTGTGTGTGCGGTGTGTGTATGGTGTGTGTGTGCGGTGTGTGTGGTGTGTGTGTGCGGTGTGTGTGTATGGTGTGTGTGTGTGCGGTGTGTTGTGTGTGCGGTGTGTGTGCGTGTGTGTATGGGGTGTGTGTGCGGTGTGTGTGCGTATGGTGTGTGTGTGCGGTGTGTGTGTGCGGTGTGTAGTGGGGAGCGGTGGCGCAGCGGTTAGCGCGCTCTGCGGTCCGAACTCCGCCAGAGTCCCGAGTTCGATCCCCGCTCCTCACGACGAAGGACGGTAGCGAATATCTCTGCACCGGTCCCCGCGTCTGCCCCTAGGTCGACTCAGCCTTTAACGAGTACCTGGTGTGTAGAACAGAAAACAACACATTAGCACTGGGAAGACAAAGGCGGCATTGGCCACATCGACCCCCAATTGTCTGCGATACGGGGGGAATCTCTGTCTTGTCCGTGTGCTTGCCGATATCCGTGGCGAGTGATTTCTGAACCGGTCACTTGACTCGACCTCTAGGTCGACTCAGCCTTAAATTACTCTACTTCCTGGTCGTGGTGGTGTATATCACTGGGGAGAGACAAAGGCGGCCGGGCATGGTGGTGGCCAACAGCACTTATCTCAAGAGCCTGTATGTCTATACC